CTATGATCAAAGACTTGTTGTAATTTTGTTTGTTATCAATACATCGTTTCTCTTTAAAAAAAGAAAAAAAGCTAGAGAACATTGCATATGACATCATTGACTAATATTATATTGTTTGATCATAATATGTTTTAATGAAGACCAATACATATATATATATTGAATAGTTGAGATGGATTGCTTAATTGGAGCCGTGATTGGGGACCCGACCCAAATTTCACTTTGGAATCTGCATCTAACCCTGTACATATCCAATACTTGTCAGGTGCCGGACACACTTGACCAAATTACCCTTTAAACTAAATCTATAAAAAAATTCTTTTAAGGTTTGACTTCTGCCGAAAAATCGACAGAGTCTCCCCTATAAATTGATCGTTTATTTCCCAATAATTTACACATGTACAAAATGCAATTCTTATATCCACAAACGTTCAACATGCACAATGTTAGAGCATACACAATCCAACAGCAAATCTGTATGGCCTTAGGCCTTACAACAACCCTAGGGCAATATCAGAACCTACTAATTAATTTAATTTACAAAAATAGTACGGTTACAGTAGGATATCCTACATAATGGAAATGGATGGGTGGTGGGTAATGAATGTTAGATGGTAGTGTTCTGGTACTTGATTACTGCATGGGGGCTCAAAACATTAAAAGCATAAGTGGATAAAATAAAGTTTTACAAAATAAAATATCAACATACTAACCCCACTGTTAAAACCATTTGAAAATTCATTTAATCCATGTTCTATATTCGTACAAAAATCAAGCATGCATATTTATACTCATATAATTGTTCATACATTCAATTAAATCATCAAAACCATTTGAAAGCATTGGAAAATAATAATTCATTTCCACCAAGGTGTACCCTTCATAAATATGTCAATTCCATAATTTTTCTATTTATTTCCCACATTATACCGTCAACTCCAAGTGTCACATAAGCGACACCTCCTTGCAAAACTCGGAAACACAAAGTTAACCCGAGCCACATTCCTCGCAAAACTCAGGAGACAGTTGGTCAACCTGTGCCACATTCCGAGCTCCTCATGGTCCGAGCTCGCCTGACCCTTCGAGGGTCCTTCCTGCAAGTTTGGGGGAGCCTGAGTACTTATTAATCAAAACCCTAACCCCCGATCTTAAAGTGTGTGTGTGTAACTTAAGAAAGTTCCTAGGCCCATTTTCAACAGTTCTGACAATTGGAATGGTCTGAAAAGACCCGAGATTAAATATACGATTGAAATATCCTATGAGTTTCGTCAAGATCCGACGGTCAGGATATATTGATCCCAAATTATGCCTAATATGCGTAAGTCCGTTCGACTGTTAAACGATAACCAAATTAGAATCCGAGCTTGGGACAACATGGGGATCATTTTGGAACCAAATAGGCTACCCAACCTGGCCCACTCACCGCCACAGGCGTCGACTGGGCGTAGATGGCTTGAGAAAATTCTGGCAATCGAAAAATTTTCAAAACACCGAACAATACCTATACCTACGTGATTAGGACAACTAGTGGAGCAATTTTTGTTCTTGGGCCACAACCAAAAAGTGGTTGGAACTTGCCGGAAAATCAAGCTAAAAACCGGCCAAAACTTAGATCATGTTGAATAGATGGAAAAGCATACATGGATCGACAAATTTGGTTGTTGGAATCATCGAAAACAACAACGAAAAATTCGAGAGAAAATCCTGTAGTTTTTGAACTACTGCAGGAGACAAAGGTGACAGTTGCGGCGGAGAAGGGATGGGATGCGAAGAGGAAAGCGAGCCGGTTCTTTATGGACCGGTCTTGTAGCCAACGGTGGCCAGAGGAGGGAGCTGCCGGCCAAACAGTGGCCGGTTGCTGTTTCGCCAGAGAGAGAGAGAGAGAGAGAGAGAGAGAGAGAGAGAGAGAGAGCTAATTGGTTATTTAAAATATGACTTTGAAATATTTATGGTTGTGCCACTGCACTTCCGTTGATCATAACTTCTTCATTAAAATTCTGATTTGAGCCCACTATGCGTCTACGAACTCGTATCGATGTGCTCTACAAACGGTGTTACTCAAATTCCCAAATTCTTTCCTAAACAAAAAGTCAATTTTATACCCATTAAAATACTCTTAGGGCGAAATTGTCTTTTACTTGAATAATTTAAGAATTAATTATTAATTTAAGAACGGGATATCACAGGTGTGGGGTGTGAGGTTGATGAGTTTTTTATTTTTTATTTTTTTGTTGGGTGTATAATTAGAGGTAATTTGGGAAGATAGTTGGGTTTTCTTAGAAATTGTGAAAAATTGAATTTGAAGTTGGGGTGAACAAAGAGAATTGTGGGGTTCAAATAGATAAACCCTCTAAGTATTGGAGTGAACAAAGAAAAATGTGGGGTTTAAATAAAAAAACTTTCTTCGATCTCTTTCAAAGTCTTGTATGATTGTCAGAATCTTGGGTCCTTAGAGAGGAATTGTGTTGTAAAGTTGTTTTTGTCTTCGAAAAAATGAGTCTTCAATATCGAAAAATACACACATATTCATTTTTGGCATATTCAAACAAGCATATTTTTCAAAAATACAGTTTAAAGTTATATCATGATTCATGAATCATAAGTAACTACACATATGCATTTTTGGTTATATAGTATGTCTGGATATAATAACCATACATATGAACTTTTGTTAAATTCAAAACAACTTATATTAGCAAAAAAATACATCATCTTAAGTAATATATACTCTCATACAAACGCACATATATGTATATATAATAAACCTTTAGTTTATATAGGCATGTGTATACTTCTTATGTATACATGTATGTGTGTTTTATATAGAAGCAGGGAACTTCTCCATTGCGAAGTCAGAAGATGCGGATTGGTTACGAATTTCTGTTTTTGACTGTTGGATGATTTCAACGCCTCAGATTGGATTTTTTTTTTTCCTTCTTTCTTCCTCTCCCCGATTTCAGTCTTCTCTCTCTCCTCTTTCTTTTTTTATTTCCTTTCCTTCCATCTCTCTTGCTTTTCTTCTTCTTTCTTCTTTCTCTCCCCGAGTTCACTCTTCTCTCTCTCACTCTCTTTCTTTTTTTCTTCTTCCTCTTGTCATGGGTGATTTTTTTCTTCTCCTCTCAGCTGGAAAACTGGGCGTTTCCCCTTCTCTCTCTCCTCTCTCTTCATTTTTTCTTCTTCATTTTCTAAGAATGATTTGGCTACAATGTGCTGGGGTTGGCTTGGGGCAAAAAGTTGTCTCGACGTCGGCTTCTATTGGCCTCTTCTTCTACCTTTGTTCAATTTTTATTTTTATTTTGGAAAAAAAATTGAAGAGAAAGATAATAAAAAAAACCCACAGACGCAGACCCATTCACTCCCCCCATCCCCTCTGTTATTTCTCTGCCGTGACCTGAAGAAAAAAGATAACAAAAAAACTCCACTGTAATAATGTATTTGCCCTCTTTTTTAATAGTTGACCATTGCTAGGAAAGAAGAAACAGGGGAGAGAGAGAGAGAGAGAGAGAGGATAGGGAAATGCAGGAAAAAAAAACGGAGAGAGAAGAGATAAGGAATAAAGGGAAAGGGCAGATTCTTGAAGCTGAAGTCTGGGGCTTTTTTTATTGGGCTTCAGCTGGCTATTGACAAGGGTATTAGCGAGCTCATTGTTGAAATGGATGCTGCCACAGTTGTCCAGGTTGTGCAGAAACAAGAGTAGAAAAGCAAGAGAGAAAGAAGAAGAAAAAAGAGAGAGATAGAAGGAAAGGAAATAAAAAAAGAAAGAGGAGAGAGAGAAGACTGAAATCGGGGAGAGGAAGAAAGAAGGAAAAAAAAATCCAATCTGAATCGTTGAAATCATCCAACGGTCAAAAACAGAAATCCGTAACTAGTCCGCATCTTCTGACTTCGCAATGGAGAAGTTCCCATACATCATCTTAAAATAATATATACTCCCATGTTTAGTATATACTTATATATGGATATTTGTATGTGGGTATTTAAATATAACAAATAAGAAATGAAAAATATATAGAACTTATAAACTAAAAACAATGCAATTAAAATTAGAATTCATAAAATATTATTATATTTCAGATGGAAAAAAAATCGGAAAAAATCATATCGGAATGGGTTCAGAGAACTTCAGAAATTTTCAAATCAAAATTTCGAAATTTACAGATAGATTCCAATTTGGATATGAATTTTATAGAAAATTTCAGATTTCGGCACTTTCGGATATGGGATGTATCATAGTCGATTTTTTTTTGGAAATTTTCGGACGGTTGTAATCGAATTTTCCAATACAATTTACACCCTCAAACAAACTATGAAATAAAAATAAAAATTCAAAAAATGTTTAGTATTCACAAAATAAACGAATACGTCAAGGAGAGCAAAGAAAAAAGCACACATAGAAATATTAAAAAAAAACCAAAAAAAGAAATACAATAAAATAAAGACAATTTTCTTTAACTCTAGTGAAGATGAAGATGGAACTGAACAACAATGGAAAATCAAATTAAACCCTAGAAATTAAAGCAAAAGGGGAAGAGTACAAAATGAACAACTATAAGAAACAAACCCTAGACTAAATTACATGGCTCATGCGATTCTGAGAAAATGGAAGAATTAAACCAAACAACACAAACAAAAAAAAAAAAAAAAAAAAAAAAAACAACGACAGAAGAAAGAGTGACAGGAAATGAAAGAAGTGTAACACCCCGACTACAAATTAAATTCCTTATTCAAAGTATTTAATTCTATTAATTGTGAATTTACGAAATTACCCTTGGGGTAGGGGTATTTCAGTCATTTTATTAACCGGGAAGAGTTTGGTGCTATGACTAGTATTTTGGATAGATCATACTGAGATGAGTCCGTAGACACGTAGTGAGCTCGTTTTGGAGTTGTAACGAAGAAGTTACAATCAAAACAAGTTCAGTGGCATAACCGTAATTTTCTCGAAGTTGATTTTTAATAAATATGGAAACTCCCTCTCACTCTCACTCTCTCTCTCCCCGTCACGAACAGACCCCCTCCCTCTCAAAATAGCTGATCAGTTTTCTCCTCACCACCACCACCGCGTCCGGCGCCATTTTCGTCGACACCGGTCTCAAAAGAACCAGCTTGTCATCCTCTACAAGTCCCAGCCCTTTTCTACTCCAATCTGCCACTGATATCGCCGGAAAACGTCGAGAAACAGCCGGATTTTTCATAAACTTTCTGCCGCTCATTCTCACACTTCCGGCAACCAAATTCTTCGAACTTGGTATGAATTTCTATCCTTTCAACATGATCTAGCTTCTGGTTGTGGTATTTAGGATCAATTTCTGAGTTTTGAAACGTTCCAAGCGATGGAAGTTTTGGCCTCCAATTCCGGCCACTTCCGTCTACTTTTTAGGATAGGTCCAAGAACAAAAGTTGCTCCATTGCATGTGATTTACCTAACTTGGAAGTCTTGGCCAGCGGTTTGCAGTTTTTCCGGCCGCCGAAAATCTCTTTGTACACCCATGCGCTGCCGGCGCGTGGGAACAATGCCGATCTGTCTTTGTGCCCTAAAATGATCCTTGTATTCTCCTAAGTATAACGGTATTCTCGGATTTCAATTTGGTTATCGTTTGATCGTTGATCAGATATCGCATATTGTGTGTTATCCGGGTTCGATAGGTTCGGACCGTTGGATCGACTCCATTCCAACATATGTTGCTCTAGACCTTCCTAGGATAGTGTAGAAATTCGCGGATTGTGAATCGGAGCTCCGGATGTTCTGAGTCAATAACCTAAAGTTTGCTTTGTGCGACAACCATCCGATCGTGAGTGATCTAACCGTCCGTTTCGGACCAAACTTACAGGACGTGTGTCCTAAACCTTGTGGAACCCTTAGGAACTTTCAATTTGTCTTGTTCCTCGTACACTCTTTAGAAACCCGGGAAACTAGGATTTTAATTTAAAGTTCTCTTTCGAAACGCTTTGTGTTAATCTCGTATTCGTATTCTGAAATAGGTACTCCAACCACGCATACGCAGCAAGTGGGACCCTCTCAGGGTCAAGCAGTGTGGGACTACTTGTGAGTGGATTTTGTTTTCAAATCTTAAGCATGGTTTTACTGATAGAAAAATATTGCATATTGTTTTAAATGATATATTGGATATAATATATATGTGATTGTCAAATTTGATGTTCTTATAAAGCTTTGGCATTATATTTTGGGTTTTGACATATTTGAGTATCTTGAGTATGTATTTATGGATTTTGAGAATTTCTATCTATATTGTCTATGTATGGGGTACTTGGGTTGTTGAGTTGAGATTGTGGAAAGATTTGAGTATAGAATGTCAGTTTGGAGTGCTTTAAGCACTGCCCTATGTACCTCCCTAGATTTGGAACTTGATTACGGAAACTTGAGATACTTGGATTTGTCGAACCCGGGGCATCCTTGACGGGATGCTACTGTAGACCCTTGATTGGGTAGTCTGCGTGCGTAGGACTGGTCACAGACGTACGAGCTTTGAGTGTCTCAGCTTTACATGCTGGCTGAGAATTAGTCTCCCAATTGGACGGTTCGTTCCCTAGCCACATGTTGAATTGAGGAATTTTTGTTATGTGGACTCTGCCATGTGGACTAGTCAAACAATCCCCCGGTTGGATTGTTTCCCCGGTACAACTAGGTGTTGGTTATATTATATGATATATATATATTAGTATATTATATATTATTATGCATGTATATATATAACTACTCATTTGTTCTTGTTTCTCAGTGAGGATACTTCCTCTCCGGTCATGCCTTTGGGTACGCTTTCAAGAGTTTCGTTGTGGGATGTATAAGTTTTGAATGGTGGGTTTGTAAAGTTTCTTTATGGATTTCGAACTTGGCATCCGGTACTTAAATTGATTTGGTTTTTGGTTTATATACTTGATTATGAGGGTTTTGGGATGCATTTGGATTTCTTGCATGGTTTTCTAACGGTGGGGTTATATTATGTTGGTTTACACTTAACTGAACTTTATTTTTGTCCACTCACAATTTTCTGTTTTGCGCCCCCTAGCCAGTAGTTGACTGAGCTCCGCAACTGAGCCGGATTGTGTGCTTCCAAAATCTTCAGCCTTCGTAGGAACTCTTTCATCATTTCATTCCAGTTGAACTTTGTTCTTGTTGTAACTGAAATTCTTAGACATGCTTTGTTATCGCCCGCGTAGGGTTTGATTTGTGAGGCTGGAGGCCTTTGTTGTAAATTGTTTATTTGCTTTAAAGCATGCTGCTGGTTGGGATGTTAAACTGTGAATTTTGAGCAGGTTGAATTTTGGGAAATGTTCAATTTATAGGGGAGACTGCCAAAATTTTGGTAGGAAGTCTCGTTTCTTAGTAAGTGGGCCCGGCATCAGGGTGATGTCGGTATTAAGGCGGGATCCGTCCTGGTTTTCGAGGAAATCCGGGGCGGGTAAGAAGAAAGTAGAGAAGAAGGAATTGCACACATAAAAAAAGGACATTTTGTGAAAATTATCAAAATAATTAAGGGCATGTTGGATACTTTGTAAAAATTCATTGACGCTCAGACAGGTTCCAAACCGATTCTCAGGAAAGTAGAATTACTGATCTTGTTCTCCATGCCCATTCACTGGACAACTGAAAGTTGTAGTATGTTGGCAACACTACCCTCGTCTCTTGGATTCGGTCAACTATGGCTTGTGAAACTTGGATGCTAATTACCAAGGCATCATTGTGTGGTAGATCAAGTCCAAATAGGTGCTTCTTGTGGAAGTCGATGACATTGTCATCTTTGACTGCTAGGCAGCTGGTAAAGACTTGGAAGATTACATTTGTCTGCTTAATCTTTATTTTATTCTCCTTGCTTATCATCCCGGACTCCTCGGAGTCAGCTAGGATTGTGTTGATCCTTATGAATTTTTGTGGAGGCTCCTTGGCTAGGTCATAATCCTCAATCTACTGAAAAACTTTCTTAGCAACGAACTAAGTGCAATGGCCATCTTTTACTAGCACCTCAAGATGTCTCTTCTAAGACTTACAGTCTCCAGTGCAGTGCCTGTGCGTTTCGTGCAAAGCATAATACTTGGTAGTATCTCTCATGGAAGGATTAGATTTCATAGGTGGTGGCCTCTTCAGCCATGGCTTGTCTTTCACCTGGTTTAGAATTTGATTAATAGGAATTGTAAATTCTGTGTAACTCTTACCAATTAAAGAGTCGCCTATTGATCGTGACTTGCGCTTTCCTCCTTCGTTCACATTGTACAACCCGACATTCTTCTATCTTGCTTTCTTTGATGGTTGGTCAGCCTACTTTACTAACTTCTTTGCGGCGATCCTATCGTCGTCCCAAAGTGTGTAACGTTCTACTGTTGCGAAGACATCAGCTAATGTTTGACTTGGGACGATGGTCAACTTGCGGTATAAGCTATGCTAGGTTGGCAAGCCTTTCTTGAAAGCGAAGTATGCAATTCGATCATCGCACCCCACAATGTTGGACTTTTCTGCCTTAAACCTCCTAATGTAATATCGGAGAGACTCATCATGCTTTTTCTTCAAGTTGAAGATGTGGTCAGCTTGCTTCTTGATCATTTGGTAGGAAGTATACTCATTCATGAAGGCAAGGGCCAACTCTCTGAAGCTACTGATCGACTTGGGCGCCAAGGTATGAAACCAATTTTGGGCTACTCCCCATAAAGTCATGGTGAATACCTTGCATATTAGCTCATCGTTGCCTTTGTAGAGTATCATGACACTTCTTGGTAGGGTTGCCTGGTCAATTTCATCGATGAATGACAAGGAGTTCACTTGGTATACATCCTTGTGCAAGGCGTCCTCCAAATCTCATTTGACCCTTAGGCCTTAGAGTCGATCATTCACGAGCTTCTTGACATCTTCCACTCGTAATGCTCGTGGTTCTTGCTGAGGACGTTTATAGTGTCAGCATCATTGGTTAACCTCATCATTGACTGGAGGGTTATTCTCTTTGGTTGGCCTGCCGATGCGACATATTGGTGGATTAAGCTAACGAAGAGTTCTCCACAACATGTGGCATGGAATCTACTCTTCCTGTTTGAGTAGGCGAGTGTTCATATTCCTTATGTGGAGAGCTACGAGGCTAGTCTCCTCGTGGGCCTAATCTCGAACGGATGTTTCCTTGCATAACCCAAGCGGGCATGGACGTCAAATTGTGCCCCCAGTCTTGAGTGCACATTGGTATGTGGGCCTAGTCTCGAACGGATGCTCATGCTACTCTGGTCGTGACTCACGGACGCTCGCGATACTCTAACGTGTTGATTAGCAGGTTCCTGTCTTCATTCCTGCATGTTGGTCCTTGCTCGTTCTCCTTGGGATCTTTCAAGTTGTCTGCTGGTGCGCTCACCCATCCTTCTCTCTTCACAATCGGGCCTTAGTCCAAAGTCTCGAACCAAGTCGATATGCCTGAGTAGCCAATCAACCAAGTGATTTGGTCCTCTACTCTCCTAACTAGCTTATTGACCTTGCGATTGAGATCTGCTTGGCTGTTTGGCAAGCAAGAGAAAATTATGTGGAGCCGAGTTGATGATGACCTAGGGTTTCTCCGGAGGCACTAATAGGTACAACATTTAAGGGTTGCGACGGCAAAAGTGGGTGTGGGAACACCTACTCCAAGACCAGTCCAAGCATGGTGGTAACAATGTGGGAAATACTAGTCTCAGCGGCGGTACCATGGGGACTTGGTGTCGTGGTAGAGTTTGTGGCCGCCGTCTTGCTCCTCGTTGTAATACTTTTCACCATGGTTGTTTTGAATGCTTCGAATTGATTTGATAAATGGAAAGGAAACGAATTTCCTTATTGAAATTTGCGAGAGCTTTGATTTGAGTATATTTCAAGGCTTTCAATGAAAGCATCCAAATGTTTGTGCAAATTTCTCACGGGAGAATATTCACAGATGAATCTTCTCTCTTGTTCGTCCTTCCTTCTAGATTCCCTGCAAGATCAAGAAAACAATCGCAAAACTGGCCGGTGTGGTGGTGACCAAGGGCCCTCCAATGCCTAAGTCAATAATATCACAGGGTATTTCTAAAAGGTACAAACCAGATTTATTGGTCTAAATAATATATTTTAGGGTTAGCTTATTTTCCCTGTGGCGTCTGTGATTCATGAAATTATCACCTTTAGTCCTTTTTTGTGTGTGACATAGTTGGTCCTTACATCAATTTGATCCCAACCATTAGGTTATGTTAAATTTTCTGTTAAATTATTGATGTGGACACCACGTGAAATAAACAATGTGTGTGTGTATCTTATTCAATGTTTTAAAAAAATTTAAAAAGTACTAAAAACTTTTAAAAAATAATTAGAAAACTTTTTAAAAAATCCTAGGTAGGGGCTGGGGGATCAGTCTTGGGTGGGGCTTGATTGGGAGGATGGTGTGAGGGAAAGAGAAGAAGAGAGGGTGAGAGAGAGGAAGAGAGGAAGACAAGAATAGAGGAAGAAAGGGAGAGAGGGAGAGAGGGAGGGAGCAGGCCGGCGAAAGGGGTGTTGGGTTTAGGCAGTGGGGGTATGTGGTCGATGGGGTTGAGGGAGAGAGAGAGAGATATAGAGCTAAGGGTGGGGAGAGAGATAAAAGGGGAGGGTGGAGGAGACAGAAGGGAAAGGGAAGGGGAGTTTGAGTTTGTTTTTTTTTTTTTTTTTTTTTTTTTTTTATTTATTTTTTTTTTTTTAAATGTATATTACATTGGTCAGGAATAGCAAAACAATGTTATCCTCGTTACAAGAAAATTTTCTGCTATTTAAGGTGTGGCAAGTCAAATGAATAAAATGGACTATTATTTGAGTTGTGAGGTCAAAGGCTCCTCCATTAGCCTTCCTATCCTTATTATTTCATTCAATATTGCCAACATAAGCTCCAACAAGAAGAAATCCAACCCGCAGGACGTACCATGTTCACATCTTAGGAAGGATTTACTTTTGAAATGCATTGTTTGGGTGATCCACCAACATAAGAAAACCTTCAGCAATTGAAAGAAGAGTTTTTATCACAAATAGTCTATGAGGTTTGTGAAATTATCGCATTTGGTTCTTTATTTTTTTTGTGACGTTATTGGTCATTCATATTACACCTTACACATCAAAACGGTCCAACTGTTAAGTTCCGTAAAATATTCTGTTAAATTGATGACATGGAATGGCATTGCACCACGTAGATTTGAATAAATAAAAATAATATTTTAAAAAAATCTTTAAAATAAAATAAAAAAATATTTTTTAAAAAAATATGCAACTTCCACCTCTATCTCTCTCTCTCTCCAAAATATGGAATACGATATGGGTGTCTCGCACCTCTGTTTTTTTCTTTCTTTCAGATCCCCTCTCCTCCTCTACCCACCACCTAGCCATCACTGCACCCCATCACCACAAGAATTCTCACGTACTTTGGATAGAAAAAATTGCATGGAAACAAAAGCCAAATCCCTAATTAATTATAGAAAGGACAAAACCCCAATGAATCTACATTTGTATTTCATCATTCACTAGGCTTGGGGAGTGGGTAATTGAGGGTGGAGTGGAGTAGGCACTGGATCGAAGGTGGCGTCGAAGATGGTTTGCAGGGGTTGGGGCGGATGGATCTCGGGTTGTTCCTTGAGGGGGAGGAGCTGGGGGATGGGGAGGGGAGAGAGAGAGACAGAGCCGAGAGAGGCTGAGAGTAGAGAGAAGAGGGAGGGGGAGAGGAACGGAGGGGGACGATGGACGAATGGAGGGGAAGGAAGGGAAATGGGTTCATAATGGTAGGAGGAGAGTTGCAGTGAGGAGGAGGGGGAGAATTTCGGTTCTTCTTTTCTTTTTCTAATTTTTTTAGATTTTAAATGTTAAATTATTTTTAAAAAATAAATTTTTTTATTTAGATCCACTTGGTTTTATCTCATTGGATATATGGGCACCACATTTGTGCCATGTCATCAATTTAATATAAATTTTGACATAATCTAACGGCAGAGATCAAATTGATATGTAAGGTGTAACATAAAGTACCAAAAACATTAATTTTGTAAAACTCATGACCATTTGTGATTAAAAAAAACCCTTGAAAGAAAGTTGTGAAGGGGCCGCCGAGGGGGGGTGGTCATGACGATTGGGGTGAGTTGGGTTGGGAAAGTTGACCATCTGCGCGTTTATCTTATATATATATATATATATATATATAAAGTAAAAGACAGAGAATTGTGAAATTTTAAAATACCAAAAAATGTCATTGGTTAATGCAAATATCAAGAATGAAAATTATTAATTAAATGAGGATAATATGACAAATTCACACCTTTTCATATTAAAAAAGTTAAAATTAAAAGAAAAATCATATAATATATCCTATTTTTATGGAACACAATTACCCATTATCTTTTTTAATTCTAAAATAAATTTAATTTTTTTTTAAAGAGCCTCTCACAGGCGCCAAAGCGCGTGCAGAGAGGCTAGTGTTTATTATTATTTTAAAAAATATATATTATTAGTTTTTTATTTACTTTTACAAGAATTACTAATCTCGTGACACACGCTCACACATGCCAATTGACCTTGAAAAAAAAGGTTCATATATTTTTAAATGTTTATGTGTTTCTTTAGGGACTTTTTTGGTCATGGGTTTTACACGAAAATTCAAATTGGTCACTGACAAAAAAATTTAGCCAAATTTGTTACTGTGTTTTCCAAAGTATAAAATTTATAGACATTTCGTTAAGTGCATATTGTATTTTTATTTTTTTAGGAAGCGCCTAAACTAAACCAAACCAAGATTGTTTTAAGGAAAATCTTGGGTTGAAGGAAAATTGTGAGGTATAAGGATAATAAAAAAGTCAAACCAAATTAAAATGAAATCAACAACTTACTAATATATTTTGGTGCTCTATCACCTTGATTACATCCCCTTGCCAGCCGAAATCGCAATATGGTTCTCACTCAATTGATTCAAGCTTCAATATAGAGTACCAAAATATAGAAATTTGATTGCACCAAAATATATTAGAAGAAGATTGAATGTGTTTCCTAGAAACTAAAAATGAAAACCTAAATTTAACGAAAGATAACGGAATGTCAACTTTGGGAAACATAGTGACCAAATTAGCTACATTTTTTTCTCAATGACCAAATTGAATTTTCGTGTAAATTCCAGTGACCAAAAAAGTATTTAACCCTTATTTTTTATATAATAACACTAATTATTAAAACAAATGAAAAAAAAAAGGATGAGGGCGTGGAGTGGACGGATCGAGGAGTAGGACACATTCAGAAAGTGAGTTTTGTGATTTTTAATTTGTTTTTAATTATTTTATTTAAATGATAATATTGTTATTATTTTACCCAAACTATATTAATTTGTTGCCTCTTATTATTTAACCAATGACATTTTGTGGTATTTTGAATATTTCACCATTCTATGTCTTTTGCTTTATTAGATAATTTAAATAGGAAATGACACATTTGTCCTTGAAAGAGAGCGAAGCATACCACATGCCATCATTTGACCCAAAAATAGATGAAATGTGCTCCATATTAACGGCAAGGGGAACTTTGGCTATAAAAAAAGAAGTTCAAATCCTTAATTTTCTTTAAATAAATAAAAAAAATCAAAGGCAAATTGAAAATCAGGGACACTAGTCAAGGATATTTCAACAGTTTAGCCTTAATTATAAAAGGAAATATGTATCCAAATCTAAGGATATCTTTCTTTCTTTTTTGTCAATAATCTAAGGATATCTTGGCTTGATGATTTATGACACATCCGACAGCACTTTTGTTGCCGTTTATTTGTTTTTCACTCTCTAAATTAAACTTGCCGTAACGTCAAAATCTAAATAAAAAACATAAAAAATCACTCCAATAATTAATACAAATGAAATGGTGTTATCTAATAGCAGGAAAAAAAACACAAGCAAACAAGCAATAAAGCCTAGATACATATGGAGCAGTAATCAAAATGAAAAATAAAAATAAAAAATTGAAATAGTGAACGATCAGAGCCTGAGGGACAAATCAAGGCCATCCTGTTGGTTCCCTCCATCATCCATTTCCTGAAGAGTAAGAGTTCTTGTAGTAGGATTATGGGGAGGCTGAATTGGATTCATATTTTTATGTCCCACAAAATTAACAAAATTGCTGGCCTGCTGATGCTGCTGCTGAGAAAGCTCTCCAGAAAGTCCCATTGTTAGCGTCGTCGCTACCGCGGGTTGTGAGCTCAAGAGCATGGGATTATAAGTTGATGATGGCAGCCCTATGCTGCTGACTACAAGTCGAAAAGCATGTTCGACTTGTTGTTGCATGCCAAACTGATAATGAGCCTGAGCTTGAGAATACTTTTGTAATGCAGAAGCAGCAGCATACGCATTTTGATTTCGACTTTGATGATTTTGATTTTGTGACCTGTAAACCATAAAATCGCCATGGGAATTTGAACGGGGATGATGATGATGGTTATTGTTAGTATTGTTATTGTAAATATGTTGTGGCTGCGGCTTATGAATTCTCGACTCCTGACGCACGCCCTGCTGGGTTTTGAAATTAGACCCACGCCTAACGGTTGAATTAGGGTTTTGATGAGTAGTGGCGGCCAGATTAGGGTTAGGGCGGCGAAGACCATGCATGGCGGCTACTGCTGCTGCCGCTTGCCTAAATTTTTCTTGCTCCTCAGTCAGATAGTTCGCAAGTACGTATGCTGAAAACCTGTTTGGCATGCCTTGGTGCTGATCATCAGACAGATCAAAGGTGGACGGTTGGAAAAAACTATTTGACATAGGTGCTACTACGTTTTTATACAAAACAATATTACGAGAAGGGAGGGAGGGAGAGAATCGAACACAGAACTTCCGGTGCAAAGATAAATTGTTTTGACTATGTGTCTGTATAATGATTAGCTTCGGCATATATGTAGGGGAAAATGGAGGGAGAGACTTGGTTTGTAAGTTATAGGCTCAATCTTTTTTTATTTATGGAAGCAAATAATATATATTTATGGGCACGAATCAAGTAAACTGCTAAAATTTATGAATCGGTAGAGGGAAGGAAAAAAAACTTCCAATTCAATTCACTCTTCAGAATCTATAGTTTTGATTTAATTGGTATCCATCCACAAGATTTTATACACGGACAGCTTTCATTGGGATTTTCTTGGTGAATATGAATATATTACGGGACTCCAGCACATCATAGATACCAAATTAATAGTCTGAGGGAAGAGTCAAAGAGGCTCTCAAAATTCTTTCATTTATACCCGGATACTTTTATTTATTTATTCATAAATAATAGTTCCCAAAAAAAAAACATTAATTTGCTACAGTTGTAAAACAACGAACAATTATACTTTATTTTGTATTAATTTTTTGTTTCTTTTTCTATTAGTGAAACTATTCTTAGTAATTTGTAGATTTTGTCTTGAGCCTCAAAACACACCAAAAGTATGAGTTTCTCAATATAACTTTCTTTGGTTGCAAAAGAAAAATTCCGTGTAATTACTCTCACTACAGACCAACAAACAAAATGAAAACGTTTTTCTTTCTTCGCATTATTAGTTTCATAAAATATTTAATTTCTCTCATTTACAACGACATACATAATTCCAAATACTGAAATTTTAATTGTTAAAAATTTAAATGATGGAGATCTAAATTCCGTTATTTTAGAATTCTATGTAATTTTCGATTCCTTCATCCAAACGGAGGGTTATTAAGTTCATAAGTTGATTACTAAATTTAGAGAATAGTAATAGTTCATTGAGACGCACATATCTAATTAATGGAATGAAATACTCTCAATCAATCAAACAAGTTCCTTTCAGAAAATACCTAACTTTAAAAAAAAATTAAAAATTAACAAATTAAAAAGAAAAAGTATTTTGCCATTTTTTGTCCGGGATGCACAAGTGTGACTTCCACATCAGGTCAGAAACCGGTCCACATAACCTACTTGATGGATCACCAGATAGTCAAACAGTAAAAAGGGAAAATTGTTGAATGTCAAGACCTAGCGGCCAATTGATGCAACGCGAACAATTAAAAGGACATGACGTAGAGGGTGATTATAACTCAAGTGGTTAAAAGTATTTGAATACAATCCATTTTAAAACGGCCACCAAACTTAGGAGATTTTATGTAAAAAGCTCTAACATTAACCGAGCGTCATTTTATGTCCCTTAAAACTTTTCCTACACATGTAACAAGATTATATTAACTTTGGGGATTTTATGTAAACAGCCCTAAAATTTTCAACTTTTAGTTAAATTTCGAGTTATTTTCTCTCTATTAAGCTGTTGTGACATTTTCTTACATTTTGGGATTTTAAAAGCTTGGTTTTTAGGCAAGGCCCAGTCTAAAGCCCAGATAAGACAAACAAACTAGTCATAGGTAGTGGAGTATAGAATGGCAAGTCTCAATATCAAATATAGGTAATTAAGGTCATCTCCAGTCATGGGCTAAAACAAATATAGTCCTAAAACATAGTCCTAAAACAATGCAAAACTCATCTTTAGTCATGGGTTAAACAAACTTTTGGCCAAATTTGGAGAGCCACATTTGGCCCTTTAGCCCTTCAACCGGACCACATTTAGCCTATCTTTGGCATATGCCAAATTTTTTGTGGGCCCCACGCATGTGCTTTTGAAAAAGATAAATTATCAAGTATGGGCAAGAGCACGAATTATCTTGTGCAAATGCATATCCAACAGCCAACCATAAAAGAACTGACGTCATCGATATATTTTTAAAAACCTTTTTAAATATTTTCAATTCGTGTTGTTTAAGGAAAATTTAGAAAAAATAATTGGTCATGACTGTTGGAAGTCAGACTATTGAAACCCAACTATTTTTTTTATTATAAATGTGATCACCTTTTTTAATGTTCTTAATTCGTAAAAAAAAATTATAAAAAAATTACTGGTCATGGCCGTTGGAGGTCAAACCATTGAAACCATCATTTTATTTTTTTTTTTTTTTTTTTTTTTTTTTTTTTTTTTTCACCTTTTTAAATGTTTTCAAGTGTTGTTTAAAAAAATTATAAAGAATTCTTGGTCATGGAATATTGTCTCTAAATAGTAGTTTAATTAAATTAAACAATACATAGTTGTGGAATATATGAGTGTTGTACCATAGTTTTTATCAAAATAATAAAATATGAAGGAAGTTAAAATATAGCATTGCATGGTTGGAGATGAAAAAATTTAACACCGCACTATTCTTTAAAAAATTAATATTTTAGAGGGCTAAATATTTAGCCATGAACTACATTTAACCCTATGACTGGAGATGGCCTAATAAGGTGAGATATAGAAGCTTAAATTATAAACAATATCTTTTTAAACCTTTTAATATCTGAATAGTAACAATCATAATCAGAAAGAAAATTTCTGTAAATAGAAATAAAGTACGCACTTCTGAAAATGGTTTGCTGACTATAAATATTATTGTTCAATAAGCATTACTTCACCTATGGACACAACAGAGCATGGTTTGTTTACAGGGTCCTTGACGACAAAAACATAAAATAAAAAAAAAATCAATAAACAGACCGAAAAAAAACACTTCTCACGAAAATTCCGTTTCACATCCTCACTAAAAAAAAGGAACTTTGAATATGAAACAAGAAAATTAAACAGAGTTCCACATGGGATACAACTATATGCAACATTATCAAAGGATATACAAAGAACAGGGCGTCTGACATTCTTCTTCCGACTCATTTGATGAGCATCTTCTCCGCCAATCAATTCCATGGTGGTGATGATGGTCTATACACAGAGTCTTGCAAAGATGTTGTGCCATAATTTAAATCAAGATTATGAAGTTGTTCCATCAGCTGAGAGCGTCTTTCCTTGAAGAAATCAAGACGAGTTGTTAATTCTACTAAGGCAGAAGATGCTGTTGATGGATGCCTTGGGTAATCTACCACCTGGAACCATGGTCACAACGTCAAGTCTTTGTAATCTTTTGAATGACAGGAAGCTTACAACAAAACGAGCAAAACTAACAAATAATATAGTAATAATTTGCATATAGTGAAACTATACAAGGTAAGATTTTGAAAAACTAAATGGCAATATTCTAATAGACTTTTAGCCCTGGAAAAAAATTGAAAATATGTATCTGGAGAAAAAGTCAGTCACAAACTAGAAATGGCACATTCTTAGCAGAAAAGGAGCACTTGCCTCTGCTGCTCTTGAAGTTGATGGCATGGAAGCAGAATCTACAGCACTAAGATCATCAACAGACAAACTTGTCGATGCATCCGTACTTTTTGATTCGCTCATGCCAGCTGGATCCATGAATTGCTTCCTTGTAGGCTGCCTTGTACCACCGCCAGATGCTAAAATTTGCCCTTTGATATTCCTCCAATCTGCCCCCGACATACTCTCCTGTAGCAAAAAAGTCAAGGAGTGTTAGATAGTTGAGAACATCACCATTGAATAAAAAAAAGAGGGGAAAACACAAAGAAATCAATAGATTCAAAGGGCAAATAGGTTTTTAGAAAAGCTTAAATAAAAATGTCGGAATGGGAGGCCTCAACCAGCTTTAAAACCACTTTTTGAGAAACATAGATAGTGTTAGTGTTACAATTTAGAACGAAGAGCAAAAGCCAAGAAAACATTTAGCAAATAAATGAAAAAATAATACAAGTAGGAACTATTCCTAATATAGAGCAGTCATTAACTAAGATAGAAAAACATAAACCTCATTCCTCTGTTTCCTTTCATGATTACAAAAGGCAAGGGTTGCATCAAAATCCTGCTGAAGAAACCTCCTGTAGACAATCAATATTTGTCATTAGAAAGACACCACCAAATTGCAACAAGCATCAAATTTCCATCTTATCATATAATATTGATATTAAAGGTCCTGCAAATGCATTATATGAATTATTTAATCATGTAGCAATCTACCTAGTGTTGCAGACAAATCTAGGGTATATTGCAGCAACTAGATTTTTAACACAGATAAAGTTTAAATAGCCTTCAAGGTGGTATATTGTAATTACTGCCTCTGAGAAGAGTCCCTTTGACATCAGGAATATTTTCCATGCGACTACCTATGGCAATTGACACTACGAGGAGAAAAAAAGAACAGTTCAAAAAGGAAAACATGGTTCTCCTATGAAAGAAAAAAAATGGTTCTCCACACTTACGGTTGAGGATTATGATTTTGGATATTTTGATAACGGTCACAAGCATCAGATAGAGAACCGTAATGATGCTGTCGTTGCTGATTAAGTTGATGGTGGAGTTCTGCAACTTTCTGCTTCAACCTGGCCACATCTGCTTCTGCAAGGGCTATCTCCTCAAGTTCAGCCCTTGTCTTCACACCAGTTTTAGAGTCATAAGAATTTGAATTGCACAAGGATATGGAACAGAAATCAAATAAAAGCAAATTCTTAACAACTTACACAAACCTTAGAATCCATTCCACGTGAACTGACTAACTGTCCAGAAGACATGCTCAAACCAACCTCCAATGCTGCTCTAAGATCTCGTTCAGCTTGTAGCTGCTCTTGCAATCTTGAAACCTATATCACCATTTGCACATTAGATGTAAACAAAGAGAGAGTAAAGCAGAGATATCATCTACTCCAAAGAAGCAAAGAGGAAATTACTTTAAGGTAAACAAAAGTACGTGTGCTAAAACAGTACCAGTGAATGTTATTAGACCCAACTCCCACATTCACAACCTAGAGTTATTACAAGGGAGATAGTAGCCAGGTTTTAACTTTTAATATCAAATATAATGGATTTTTATCAAGTGACTTCTTTACT